ATGGAGCCCAACTGGGTTGTTAAGCCGGGTTATATACGAGATAAGTGCATTAAGGTACCGCCGCCTCCGCCTAAAGCAGGAATGGAGGGTTTTTAGTCAGTAAGAGTCTGACACTCCCTCCCAAGCGCGGATCCAGCCTTCATAAAAGGTTGTGGTCACAGCTACTAGAAAATCGGTTAAGTACGAGTCGGAGCATGGACATGCTAAAAAAAAAATGCTCCTTAACAATCATGTTAATCGTTCATGAACTTATGAATTACATTTCCTTTTTTCCAAGCATCACAACTTTGGCTTGGTAAATAAACTTAGGAAAAAGTCGGCCACGATTTCTTCTAATTTGTAATAGTCAGTTTCGATCCAAACCTATTTCAATCACAAGTGTATTAAGGTTGTGGGCATGCCCATCGTGCCCACAACGGTGGATCCGCCCTTGCTCCCTCCCGCCATAACCTAGGCCAGAGAAGTCATTGATGATTTTCCCTCCTCAAACGAAACCTCTCTACAAATAAAGAACCTGTTAAAAGTATTTTCAACTTTATCATTTTGTTATAGGTACATGTAACAACATAACTGCGCGCCTACTCCCATGAATAAGTTAAACGAGAGCCAAGTAGTGTGTGTGTGTGGGTGTCGGACAGGTCGCGTCAGTGACACACACACACCGGTACATCTGGTTTATTGTAATGTATAGTATTATAATGTCGTACATCAGTCTGTATGGAAACATTTCGTTGTGGAGCCCATTACGAAATGGGGACGGCGTATAGTGTGCTGTTAGAGCGAGGCGTAGATTTCGTCAAAATATTGGTAATATTATTATTTGCTGTGTCAGTTTTTTTAACGTCGGTAAAAGAGGTGATGCATCATCATCATCATCATCATCATTATCAGCCTATAAGTGCCCACTGCTGAGCAAAGGCCTCTTCTCACACAGAGAAGGTTTGAGCATTGACCACCACGCTTGCTCAATGCGGGTTGGCGATTTCAAACTTATAATTAGAAATTATAAGTCGAGGTTTCCTCACGATGTTTACCTTCACCGTATGTCAGTGGTGTCTCAATAATCATAGAAAGTACATATAACTCGGAAAAAGTCACATTGGTACTTGCCAGGTTTCGAACCCACACCCTCATACATGAGAAGCGGGCATGCATCACTTGGTGGGTATTATTGTGAGGGGAAAATCTTTAAATTACTTCTCTCGCGCAGGGTGAAGCGTGTGGCAGTGTTAGACTCTTTCTACTTCTACTTTAAGACGAGTCCTCACTAAGTTATTTGGCTTGTCCCGCAACTCCAAGCAATATCCACCGCCTGTGTTGACCCTCCCAGAGGAGCTACAAGTGCGTTCTCAGCCTTTGACAACTTTCTTTCCGTTAGCTGCCTGTATGGGATCTCGTTTCCCCTGCCCTTATTACAACGATGTGGTAGTGTGACGCCGTGGTATCACTCCGGTCGAACAGAAGTATTCATCCAATGTTTGACTTTTAGTTCTATTTAAGACTAATAAAGACTTTTCTTTCGCGATGAAGATGGTGGTTAAAGTGTGTGAGAGGCAAGCTCGTCACAAATGGATCGACTTGACCGGTGTGATACCACGGCCTCTCAGAAAACCGGCGTGAAATAACCACAGCGTTGTGTTTGGCCGTGTGAGTGAGGTTACCGGAGGCCCAATCCTTCCCCTCCCCCAATCCCTCCTCAATCCCTCTTCAATCCCTAAATCTCCAAATCCCTAATCCCTAAAAGGACGGCAACGCACTCGTAACTCATTTGGTGTTGTGGGAGTTCATGGGCGGCGCTGATTGCTTACCATCAGGTAATCCGTATGCTAGTTTGTCGACCTACTACATAAAAAACAAAACCGAGATGACGGTTTACCCGATGGTAAGCAAGTTCGGTTATAAGTACGTTGCTGGCTTTTAGGGGATTGGGTCTTCGATAACCTTATTCACATGGCGTATCAACGCAAGCGTTGTTTTACGCCAATTTTTGTGAGGCCCTGAGGGCCTAACATGAAGTGTTAAAGCGTGAATCTTTCGGGCGAGAAAGAGGGATGGAGCTATACATCTTTTATAGCTCCATACCTCTTTCTCGCCCGGAAGTTTCACGCTTTAACACTTCATGGTAGGCCTACTGGAGTCACTACAGCTAACCGATCTATTAGTAGTTAAGCATTTCTCCTTCCTTCCCTCTCTTCTCACTGTTATAAAATACACGGCTAAGAAATTACGAACCTGATACATGCTGGGCAGTTGCAGCTATTAACTACCGCGGCCTCGGCCTAGAACAGGAGAAAGAATGGGATTATTTTTAGTCAGTAGACTCTTACTGACTTGTACACTTCCTCACGCCTCACCCTGTGCGGGGGAAAGGGATTTGATGATCTTCCAGCCTCAAAAAAAACACTGGTCAGGCGGCACACCTTGAAATATTTGAAACATTTTAATCTGTGATATCCAAATAAATTTTTTATAATAACTATCGTGAGACATACCTACTGTATTTACTAAAAATCGCAACTACAACAAAAATAAAACCACAGAGTGGTCTTTCCTCATAAGTTCGGTTCGCGCGCAGCCTCTGTGGTTCGAAACTAGTAGAGCTTTTCTCGATATTATACACGTGAGTAACCCGTGTATTTTAGTTAATCCAAATGATTTTTTTTTTAAAAAAAAACCTTGCCCCACGCTAGGATTTTCTCCTGTGCCGTGGGTTGCGTTTACAAACATGCAATTTCACATGCATATCACACCCAGACCCAGAACAACAATCTGTGGATCACACAAAGACTTGTTCCGTGCGGGAATCGAACCCGCGACACGTTGCGCGGCAGTTGCCCAGCCACCGCGCCAACCGTGCAGTCAGAATGATAAATGATTATTTATTTATCCAAATGAAATTAGTCCAGCTATGAACAACCACTGTTAGTTTACGTGGCAGCCCTACGCGGCCGATGTCGCCGCTCTGAATACGGACAGGGCGGCGGCGCACCGGCCGGGTTACCGCTAACGACTTATTTCGCTAATTAAACCAGAATCGCTTACTCGACATTCGAGACTGCACACTCCATACTGACAGCTATGTTACACTGTTACTCTCGATATCAGAACCAGACCCGAGCGTACGGCGCGTAGCGTTCCGCGCGCGCGCCTCAAAGAGCCAATAGACCATCACAGACGGGGCCCTATAGGGCTGATGTTCTGCCGGGGTTGCGGGGTAAGCGCAATGAGGCACCGCGACCTCAGCCTAGACCAGGAGTAGGAACAGGGGGGTTTTTAGTCAGTAAGAGACTAACGGCTCCCGCCCGACCCTGGGCGGGAGAAGTCATTTGATGAGTTTTCCCCTCACAAAAAAAAAATAAACAAAACTCTCGATATATTGCTCTGTTAATTATCTTATGGCGTTATTTATTGACCTTTACAAGTGTGGGAGAGCGATGGGTCGGCTCGACCGGAGTGATACCACGGCTCCACACAAAACCGGCGTGACACAATCACAGCGTTGTGTTGCGGGTTACCGGAGGTCCAATACTTTCCCCAAATCTCCCTTTCCTTAAATCCCTAATTACCTACAAAAGGTTGGCAACACACTAATTGTGGTAGCTCCTTTGATATTACGAGTATCCATGAGCGGCGCCTATTGCTTAACACTAGGTAAACCGATTGCTCATTTTATGACCTGTGTCATAAAAAATATACATTACACACTTTTAGTATATATAAACTTACTGCGATTGGGCGAAGCAGATTGTTCTCTATGTTTGTCAAAATGTTGGTTGAGTATTTATTCCTTTTTCAGTAAATTTCCATTCCATTTATATCGTCTTTCATATATAAATACAATTTGAAGACCATTAATAATCGGTCTGTCAAATCAATTCTCTTACTCGATAGTGGCGCCACACTCCTCTCATAAGACCACCTACAATTACAAGAAGTCTGGTTTTTATACCTTTTTTTTTGCTTTAAAAGCTTCATTTTTACTCTGTGACGTAACGAGAGCGCCAGTACTACACATAACTGAACAAAAAATGTCCTCGTAATAACCGCATTCCATATTTAAAGTAAAATCGGTCTTAATTTTTATACTTCACGTCAAGTCATTGTTACTTTCCCGCCATATTATCCTTTATTCTTTCTTTAGTAGGTTAGTCGTATCCTGTGTGTGTATGTAAGTATACATTTATATTAGATATGTACAGTTACAAAGAGCGCGGTACTTTCTATCAAAAATTAAAATGGTTACCTAACGGATAGGACACCGACTTGGTTCTTATACGAAAAATGTTTTCATTTCTCTACTACGAATCGTATCGAGTTTAGTTTTCGACGAAAATTAATATAAAATACAATGTTCTGTCTGAAGCTAATACAGTCACAAATAATGATAGCACGGCACGGTACCACATTGACCTAACTATGGAACTTTTCATGTTTTGTAGTTCTAAAAAGCTTTCCTTTCCCTGCGAGCTTTATTATACTTTATCACTCCACAACAGTAATCGTGACATACGATCGAGTTCGTGACTCGTGGTACTTGTGCCGAAAATAAATGACATTTGTTATAATGTTGCCAACGTAGTAACTTTTCCCTGGTTCCGAGGAGTATTGGTATTTATACTTACGTTTACTTCATATTATGTTTGTAGTAATCACTATAAACAATGATTTTAGGAGATTTTGGTGAGAGAAAAAAGTAACTTCTTAGACAAAATCAGAATACGATTGTACAATCGTATCGTCAGCTTTAGCTTGAAAACTAAAACTCTGATACATTTAGATACCTAAATGTATCAGAGTTTTAGTTTTCAAGCTTTTTAGAAGAAGTACTATATACTTTACCATTGATCCAAAGGGTTTGCTCGTCATAATAAATTTAAAAGTATAAAAAATTCTGCATCCTCAGCAATCATTTACAAGAAACAGGAAACAATATAAATGTGGTAATTTATATTCGGATCATGGCAACACCAGATTAAATGCGCCATTCCGCGGTGTTGTACGTACGTCACTTCGCGGAGTTCGCGGTCGCTCGCCGTCCGTGCCGCGCTTGACGTCATCAAAATAAACTCCGGGAAATGTATTCACAATAAAAATACGGTGAAAATAAACGAGTCAGCGAAGTTAATTGTCTAAATAAAACGCTTTGATTGTTTGTTGTGCACTGTGGAGTGATGAAACCGGTTTTAGTGTGTTTCGAAACTGAGAAAAGTCTTTGATCACGGTTTTACGACGTATTATTGTGAAGTTACGAGTGTAATACTGTGTTGATGTGTTTGTTGCTGGGTGCCCTGTAGTGCCCACGGTGTCCACGGTGTCCACGCGGCCAGCTGTGGGCCGCGCGACAAGTAAATAAATAGTGTAAAGAGTTCGAGTGTGCATCTGAGATGACCTACATACAATAGACGGTAATGCAGCGTGACGTCAGCGAGCTTCGGCGTTCGATTTTTGAATTTTCTTCGTGTTATTTGGCGGAGTATTATTTTTGAATTTTCCCGTTCTTAGTAGCAATGATGTTTATAGTTTTTTTTTTCTGTTTGACTGGCTTAAGGACACAACTTTATAATTCTATCGAATCATTTACTATAAGTAAAATATTTTTCCGCAATGTCGTATTTTCAGTGGGATGTAGTTGTTTCCAAGATTTCTCTACACATTTAAGTCTTTCTACAACTTATTACGTAAATATTTTACTATAACAATATGTTTGTTTCGCGCAGCTCTTCGATTCGGACTTGTTGTGTAACTTTCACTAAAATCAAGTTTTCGTACGCGACATAATGAAATAACTTCCTTTTTGACCATACTTATTATATATTACATATTAACTCTACACTTATGTCTCATAGTGGGCACTAGATAGCATCTAGAAATAGGTTAGAGGACCTAATCTCCTAGTAGATAATTGGTGCCCTGGTATCTCAATGGGTGCTAATGGTAGTCTTTATCATGGTTTTTAGAACATGCCATAGTCTTTTTCACTAAACAGAAACTTTCTTAACATACTCTCTGTCTAAACCGCTACTTACATAATTGTCTTCATCTTAATGTGGCAACAGTATAATCAGAGATTGACAGATACAAAACAAATTGAATGTCTTGCAACTCATAAGAATACTTTGGCAAATCAACTTTTTAAATTTTTCAGTTATGGTGGATAGACTAAAAAGGTAGGATGTCTTTTAAAAAAGTAGATGAGACACTGGCCCATTAGCCTTGCAGTCAAATTAAACTCACAAAGAATCTGCTTATAGGCTAGCGACTGATTGTTGATGAAATACAAAAAAAAAAATATAATTCGAAAAGCTTCCTATAAAATTGCCCCGCGCTAAGTTTTTCTCCTGTGTCGTGATTACAAACATACAATTTTACATGCACATCACACCCAGACCCGGAACATTTGTAAACATTGATATTGGTGATCACTGATCACAGACACTGCTTAAACATACTCTGCCTATATTAATAACTAGCTATTCTCACGCGGTTTCACCCGCTGCTCAGCTCCATTTAATCGTAGCGTGATGTTTTATAGCCTATAGCACTCAGAAATATTGTAGCTATCTATCATTGAAAGAATTTTGGCAATCCGACCAGCGGTTCCAAAGATTACCCCCTACATACAAACTTACAAATTTTACCTCATTATAATATTAGTATAGATTATCGCCAATGAGATTGTAGGTGATTTATTAATAATAATAATTACTTATGAAACTGAAAACTTGCATTATTTGTTAGTTTAGATGTGTTAACCTTAACAACTACTTGCTTGAATTGAACAATTATTTTTAGTTAATTGATTGAGGAAGGCTATACTTATAGGAAAACAATTTATCAAGGTTAGCTATACATCTAGTGTGTTAGTGTCATGGTGGCCCAGAGGTTATGGCGCCCACTACTCATGCATGAGAGTGCGGGTTCGAAACCTGGCAAGTATCAATGTGACTTTTTCCGAGTTACATGTAGGTACTTTCTATGATTATTTAGACACCACTGACATACGGTGAAGGAAAAACATCGTGAGGAAACCTGGACTTAATCGACAATCTGGCTTGAATGAGCCTGGTGATTAATGCTCAAACCTTCTCCGTGTGAGAAGAGGCCTTTGCTCAGTAGTAGGCACTTATACGTTGATGATACCTCTAGGCTATAAAACATCACACTATAAGCCACCACAACATAATTTTAACTCACAAGATAAAACTTGTAATTTTAAACCATTCTTTCGTACATCATTGTCACAAGTAGTGAGCTAATGGCAAGGAATTAACTCAGTGAGGTCACCTCTACAAACAGACGGTTCTGTCTGAATATACAGCCGCACTGAATCAAAAGATTAAGTTGATTTATACAGTAGTTTAATAATATAGCCTTTTTATTAACAGACTTCCAAAAAGGAGGATGGTTGTCTCCGTCTTTTATGAACCGATTTTGATAAAATATTTTTTGTTGAAAGGAGATAGTCTCAGAATGGTCCCATGATAAGAAAATCAGGATCTGATGATGAAAGACCAGAGTAATCGAGGGGATGTTGCCTGCCCATCTCCATTCGAGTCTTTTGATTTTCAGTGTAACATCTGTGATTTTAGTTTTATTTCTAACTAGCTACTTTCGCGCGGTTTCAGCCGTTGCTCAGCTCTATTTGATCGTAACGTGATGTTTTATAGCCTATAGCACTCAGGAACATTGTAGCTATCTATCAGTGAAAGAATTTTGGCAATCTGTCTAGCGGTTCCAAAGATTACCCCCTACATACAAACTTACAAATTTTACCTCTTTATAATATTAGTATAGATGATAATAAAACATCTACTTACCAAATTAAATAACAATACGACCTATTAATAAAAAAGTGATTGAATACAATACAATCTTGCTCCCTATACAAGCGTTTTTATTGTTCCGTATTTGCACTGAGTTGCATATCTAAGTGGACGTCTAAATTAGTACTATTAAGGCGCCGACAAGGACTACCTTCAGTACACCCATACATCATCAATACTAACGAATATTATGAGGGCTGATTTAACAATAGTCTAAGTGTGGGAGAGCCATGCTTCGGCACGAATTTGTCGGCTCGTCCGGAGTGATACCACAGCCTCACAGAAAACCGGCGTGAAACAACCACAGCGTTGTGTTTCGCCGTGTGATCACTCACATTTGTGTGATAACGCTCCATTTAATCGTAGCGTGATGTTTCATATTAGCCTATAGCACTCAGGAACATTGTAGCTATTTATCAGTGAAAGAATTTTGGCAATCCGACCAGCGGTTCCAAAGATTACCCCCTACATACAAACTTACAAATTTTACCTCTTTATAATAATAGTATAGATAATCACTTTTAATTGTTTTTTTTTCAAATAAATCAACATTGGCACGTATGAAAAAAATACTACTTATATAAAAAAGTTCAACTTTGTGTGTTTCAGTCCTCCAGTGACTAGTGAACCTATTTGTAGATTCTTCAACGTATTTATTGAGTTTTGTATTTTCCTGTTTGTGCCTTATCGCCTTACAAAAACATTTTCAACCATCCTCAACAGACAACTTATTCCTAACAGCTGCACGTCGCCTCTCGATGTACTGCGCAGTACACAGCTGACCTTTACAAGGACACCGGCAATTAGGTCGCCTGTGTCCTCGCACTGGAGGGAGGGGGGGCTCCCTCCTCCTCCTCTAACCGCACTCCCTGCCGCCCGCTTCACTAGCGATATAAATACTGGCCATCTCTACACCTGAAGTGGGATCGAGTTTCTGTCAATATGCTTCGGAAAATATCGAGTTTCTTACTCGTTGTCCTTCATAACGCGCATACAATTTAACACCAAAATAATACAAATAATAAAATAAAAAGTATAAATCTAAAACCCAACTACGACAAAAAACGACGCTGAAAAAGTATCAAACAAGATTTTCAGAATACCGCAAGGCGTAGTCACACGTTGTCAAAATGCTACGGTAGGTAGTTTTTTTTTTATGTAAGTAATAGGTCGGCAAACGAGCAGACAGATTACCTGATGGTAAGCATTCAGCGCCGCCCATGGACACCCGCAACGGAGAAGTTACGAGTGCGTTGCCGACCTTTTAAGGATTAGGAGATTTAGGGATTGAGGAAGGATTGGGCCTCCGGTAACCTCACTCACACGGCGAAACACAACGCTGTGATTGTTTCACGCCGGTCTTCTGTGAGGCCGTGGTATCACTCCGGTCGAGCCGACCCATTCGTGCCGAAGCATGGCTCTCCCACACTTAACAACACTTAGTTATATTGCCTTTCAGTATTCTGAAAATCTTGTTTTATACTTTTTTAATTATTCCAACTAGTTGTTCCTCAAAAGACCACTACAGACAGAAAGCTATGATTCGAGTCTGCATCTATCCTTTCGCTAAAGAAAAGGCGCCTAGTCATGTGAGATTAACACACAACACATTGCGAACGTACTGTGTATACATATATGATAGATATAGTTATGTATATGTACTATTTTGTAAACAAACTCCCCATGCTTGGGATCAGGTCATTCACCATTACAACACAGTATAAAACAAAGTCGCTTTCTCTGTCCCTATATCCCTATGTACGCTTAAATCTTTAAAACTACGCGACGGATTTTGATGCGGTTTTTTAATAGACAGAGTGATTGAAGAGGAAGGTTTATATGTATAATGATATCTATTAAATAGTGGAGACGTTTAGTATCAACTTTATTCCAGTGTGAGGTCGGGACGGATCGCTTTATACCATATAGTTAAGAGTCTAGAACTCAGATACCAATTACATTTAAAAATTAACTGGCATTAACTCCTTTTAGTAATATTATGATGGTATGTTGTGTTTTGCCCCTTCCCCTCCCCCGGTTCTTCTACAATCCCTAAATCTCCAAAACCCTAATCCCTTAAAGGTCGGCAACGCACTCGTAACTCCTCCGGTTTTATGGGCGGCGTAATTGTTTACCATCAGGTAATCCGTCTGCTCGTTTATCGACCTATTACATAAGAAAAATGTACTTCCAAGCTAGCTTTTCATATTCTTAATTTTGTATAGCTATAAATATAAAAATCGATGCCACTGTTCTGTTTAATTTTATAACTCAAGGACGGACGTCTATCCAAACCAAGGAGGCTCTGTTCGGGTTAACGGACGAACTAGATGGTCAACGCTAAGTTTGCACGAAGTCTGACAGTGGGAGAGCCATGCTTCGGCAAGAATGGGTCGGCTCGACCGGAGTGATACCACGGCCTCACAGAAAACCGGCGTGAAACAACCACTGCGTTGTGTTTCGCCGTGTGAGTGAGGTCACCTGAAGGTCCAATCCCTAATTCAATCCGCGAAAGGCCGGCAACGCACTCGTAACTCCTCTTTTGCTGCGGGTGGACAAGGTCGGCGCAGATTTCTTACCAT